GGGAAAAAAGTAAATAATCCACAAAGAAATAACAAATCCACCAAAGATTTTTCAACAGCAATGAAAAAGGCAGCGCAGTAAAATAAAGCTTCAAATGTCCAGAGGGAAAGTGAATGTCAACCTAGTGTTCTATCATATTGTTTTCTGTACCTTTTATGTTTTCCTTTTTGTTTTTTTTTTTGAGTTGGAGTCTCACTCTGTCGCCCAGACTGGAGCGCAGTGGACACCGCAGCCTTGACCTGCTGGGTTCCGGTGATCCTTCCGCCTCAGACTTCCGAGTAGCCAGAATTACAGGCATGCGCTATCACGCCCGGCTGATTTTTTGATTTATTGTAGAGATGAGGTCTTGCCTGTCCAGGCAGGTCTCGAACCCGTGGGCTCGGGCAATCCACTCACCTCAGCCTCCCAAAGGCACGGGATTACAGGTTGAGCCACCGAGCCCGGCTACCTTTTATGTTTTCAAATAAAAATATAAAAAAGACAGATGACCCTCATTTAGATTGTTTGGAACACTTTGCTTGGGAAAGGTGAAATAATGGTAACATTCGACAAGAACAAATGCTACCAAATGTCCCCAGAAAGCAACAAAAATAGAACAAAATTGACTTATTCATAAATATTCATGACTATGACCTGAACATCTTTGTGGTACAAAAAGCAATTCTGCCCTACAAGTAAAAGAAAGAAATCTAAAATTTGATTTTGGAAGAACATTTTGATTGCCTGTCCTTTTTTTTAGCTACTCAGATATTAGGAAGTCATAAGTAAAACCTTAGACTTTAAAGTTGTGCATAATTTATTGCACACAATCTCTAACTGGTGTGAAATTTTGAAAGAGTCATTTAAAAAAAATTCTTCTTTTCTTTTCTTTTTAGTTAGCGTGTAATAACTGTATATATTTATGGGATACAGAGTAATATTTCAATACATGTGTGCAACGTGTAAAGATCAAATTAGGTAATTAACATATCAACTACCTCAAACATGTATCATTTCTTTATGTTTTGAACATTCAAAATCCTTTCTTCTATCTATTTTATAATATTCGATAAATTATTGTTAATAATAGTCAGTCTACACTGGAACACTGGAACTTACTTCATCTTATCTAGTAATTTTGTATCTGTTAACCAACCACTCTCCATATTCCATACCCCCTACTTTTCCCAGTGTCTAATGTCCACAATCCTGAAAGATTCAATACTTTTTTCCGCTTTTAATTTTTCTTTTATTTTAAAGATGTGGGGTGCAATTCAGGGTTAGGCATACAAATGTTCATGATGAAGGTACCCTTGTTGATGAGGTGTGCCCCTCTGTCCCCAGGCAGATTCCCACTACTGTCAATCAAGATTCAGTCCTTTAAAAATAAAACTGAAAAACAAATTCCTGAGTAGCCCCTCAAGCAGTAAATCTATGCTTCCAACTTTTTGAAAATTGCCTTTGCCACTCCCATGCAAGTTTTAGTTAATTAAGAATAATAAGATACCATTTTGTGATTTGATACAAACACATAAATTCAGGGTTGTAAAAGATTCAGTGTCATTCTGAAAGAAGCTACTTCAGCAAGAGAAATAGTTGGGAACACTTATTAGGAGTCACCTTAAATGTACTCTACGTACATTTAGAAAAAAAAACCTGTTGCTATGGCTACAGGACAAAATGGCAAAAGCACATTTACACTTTTAGAAACAGGTGACAAGCTGCAGAACTTTCTGTCCCATAAGTAAGAAAAATAGAAGGGAGAAAATTATCAAGCATTCTTCAGCAGACAAGAAAAGTATATAACACAGAAGCTTATATCTCTGCCAAAAAATACAAGAGAAAAAGACTAAAAACAATACTAAAATTAATTGGATTTATCACCCTTCTTTGGCAGGGGTGGGGATCTTACTCTGTCACCTAGACTGGAGTGCAGTGGCATGATCACAGCTCACCACAGCCTCAGCCCTCCTGGGCATAGGCAATCCTTACACCTCAGTCTCCCAAGTAGCTGAGACTATAGGCACACACACCAAGTTGGCTAATTTCTTTTTTGTAGGGACGGGGTCTCACTATGTTGCCAAGGCTGGTCTTGAACACCTGGGCTCAAGGAGTCCTCCCACCTTGGCCTCCCAAAGTGCTGGGATTACAAGTGTGAGCCACCATGCCTAGGGGATTCATCTTTAGCTAAAAACATCAATGTACCTACTTGGCCATCAGAATTCCTTGCTCTAGGTGCACAAAGATTTGCTATTCATGGGGACTTATACTTTTTCAATTTTTCTTGTTCGGGGACATTTTAGTAGTATCATAAAAAGAAACAAAAATGTCTTCCTCTAGTTAAAAGCACATGCATGTTTTTCAGACGTAATGCTTATTTACTCCAAGAAGAAAAAACAAACTCCATGTAAACAAATTCCAAGTTGAGGAAAGATGAAAAAAGTTAAACCCAAACTGTTCTACTTCGTAAGATTATTAAAAAACAATAAATGATTATTTTGGAAACATGGATGTCTCAAAAGGTGTTAGGACCTAGCCTTCTCAGCATCTCTGTCAACTTCTGCACAGTTTCTCAGTTCCTCAGGAACATTCACTAGGATGTATCATTGCAGAGAGCCTGGGCCTACCATGTTAGCCCATGAAATGGTGAAATGGATCTTCATTGTGCCTCACCACTGGCTTCTTAAACTCGCCCACATCCTCCAGAGGGAAGGCAGCTTCTCTCTCTCCCGCAGGGAAATGGGTCCGAGCTGCCTCAGCACCTCCCAAGGAGCCAGAGGGTACCCAAGGATCAATACTGCTCTGGGCAATGGGACTCTGGATACTTGACTTGTTTGACTCAAGCTACAGAAGAGCCCTGTGATGGCTTAAGAAATTAGCAATGGTGTATGCAGCAGTATCTTTACATGAAGAGGACCATGCAAAGACTGGCAATAATTGAGGGGTTCAGAGGTGGGCTCTGAAGTCACCCGCTTGACTTTAAATCGACCCTGTGTGACCTTGGGCAGTTAACCTTCTCTGTGACAACTTTCCTCATCTGTACATGGGAGATAAATACTGCTTACTTAAGGTCACTGTGAAGATGAAAGGAGGCAGTATGTCAGGCACGGTGCCTGGCACATTTTAAGTACACCGCAAACATTAGCTGTGAGCACTAGTAAGAGTAATAGAAACATACAGACATGAGGGAACGGAAAAAGGGTACTATTATAAGGATACATTTAAATGATTTACACTATAAAAACAGGAAAGGTTTTCTATGATTACAGAAATTCAATAAATAAATAGAATGCATAAAGATACCCTCCACTAATACAATATAAGCATGAGGTACAAAATTTATAAATTTCATGTAAACACACTTAAGCATTCGTGAATTTTGATTCCCAAATCTTAAGTTAGGATTTTTATCGAGGTCACTTTTTTTTTTTTAGTAGGAGTCTCACACTGTTCCCCAGGCTGATGTGCAGTGGTACGCTCATGGACACTGCAGCCTTGACCTGCTGGGCTCAGGTGATCCTTCTGCCTCAGCCTTCCAAGTAGCTGAAACTACAGGCACGTGCCATCACGTCTGGATAATTTTTATTTATTTATTTATTGTAGAGATGAAGGTTCACCAAGTTGCCCAGGCTGGTCTTGAACCCGTGGGCTCAGGCAATCCTCTCTGCTCGGCCTCCCAAAGTGCTACGATTATAGGCGTGAGCCATCACGTCCAGCCTCGAGATCGCTTTTACCAGATGACAGGCATCATATGTTACATATTTTCAGAGATGTATTGTGGGCTCAATAATGCTGCACTGAATTTTAAGTCCCAAAGCAAACCTCTGATTATCTTATTGTCCCAGTAACCTCACAGGAGGTACAAAGCTGAGCTTCACAGAAACAGCTGCGTCACTCTGAATTCCCTTCCTTTTCTCTTATTGTGTGTGGCCCCACCAAGGTCAGAAAACAAGTAATCTGTAATCTGAATCTACCAATTGCACTTTCTTCCTTCCTGACTGTCCTTTCAAGATTCAGTGCTCTTTAGAGCCCTGCTAGGGCAATTAACATAAGGCAGATACAGGCCTGCCTTATTTTCTAGCAGAGGCCTCTGCAAAGAAAGACACCAACATCCAAGGGCATCTGCTGTCTAATGAAGGACCTAAAGTAAGTAAGTCAAGACTCTCCTGTCTTCCAATTTCAGAAACCGAAGTGGTGTTTCTGAACACCAAACAGCAAAACAGTCACCAAACAATTCACCAAAACAGTCCCTCTGACAATATGGTACCAAAACCTTATGTTCTCAAACTGGAAGTCCAGACAAACACTTAATGATTTTTTTTTTTTCCATTTACTTTAAAAGCACTTTGGGAGGCCAAGGTGGGAGGACTGCTTGAGCCCAGGGGTTCAAGACCAGCCTGGGAAATATAGTGAGACCTTGTTTATACAAAAAGAAAAAAAATTAGCTGGGTGTGGTGGCACATGCCTTTAGTCCTGGCTGCTCAGAAGACAGAGGCAGGAGGATTGTTTGAGCCCAGAAGTCCAAGGCTGCAGTGAGTACTCCAGTCTGGGTGACAGAGTGAAATCACGACTCAAAATAAATAAGACATCTCTCTCTCCTCTCTCTCTCTCTCTCTCTCTCTCTCTCTCTCTCTCCCTCCCTCCCTCCCTCCCTCTCTCTCTCTCTCATCTCTCTCTTTCACACACACACACACACACACACACACACACACACACACACACCCAGAGAATTGGAACGATTTTTCTATGATTGATACTTCTTTTTAAATTATGCTCATTAGTTCCAAATATTACGGACTTGTATTTACTGGAGATTGTTTTAAAAGTCCCTGGCACTCAAATATGTTTTCTTCCATCAGGAAACCTAACCACTATCTTTTAAAAATTACCTAAGATATTAAAAAAAAAAAAAGCCTTCACAAATTAGGGGGAAAGCAATCCATCCTTTGTTGGAGGGGCAGTCTTGTATGTTAGCGTCCAGACGAATTTAAACAGAGGGGGGTTTCATGGCAAGTACTCACCAGGGGTTCCGCCATAATGATGCGAATCTTGCGCTCAGCCTGAGTGGTGAAGTTGACAAACAAGCTCTTGAGGACATACTCTCCGGGTTTGCTGTCTGGGTCCACGTTGATGGGTAGCATGGTTGGGGGCCCTTTCTCCCTGTGCGTGCCAGAAGCAGGTGGGACCGGAGGCTTGATGTAGCCGTTGCCAACAGGAGAGGCTAGAAAACAGAATAAACATTCTTACTGGGGGAAAATCATGTCATAAATATTCAGATGGGCTTTGTTCAACCAGAACTATCAGGATATGAATCATATCAAGAATGTTGCACTTAATGTCATAACCTGGGCTTTTTCTTTAGCCAGAATGTAATTATTTTGATTATGTTATGTTTGTGTTATTCCATATTTGACTGTCTCAAATTTTTTTGGTCACCACATTGCCTTGGGTAAGTTATATTGCAAGTTCATAATACTGCCGATAAATCTTATAGTATTTAAGTTTTGGCTTCTGTTTTTGTGTGTTCTGGGAAAATGGTACTCCCGTTTAGAAAATGGGTAGAAAGAGTATATGGGGAAAAAGTGATTTCTTGTTTTGCTTTTTTTTTTTTTTTTTTTCTTTTTTTGAGTTGGAGCCTCACTCTATCATCCAGGCTGAAGTATAGTAGCTTGCTCACAGCCACCGCAGCCTCAACCTGCTGGGCTTAGGCGATCCTTCTGCCTCAGCCTTCCAAGTAGCTGGAACTACAGGCACGCACTACTATGTCTGGCTAATTTTTTGATGTATTGTAAAGATGAGGTCTCACCAAGTTACCCAGGCTGGACTCGAACCCCTGGGTTCTGGCAATCCTCTCACCTCCGCATCCCAAAGTGATGGGATTACAGGCGTGAGCCACGGAGCCCAACTGAAAAAAAGCGATTTCTTGTCCAGGTTTTCTTACAGGTCAGGAGCTCTCTGTCTTCTGTACTTTAATCTAATAATGGAAGACTCTGGGGTCATCCCTTACAGAAGAATCAATTTTCAGAGACCCAGCTGGCTCTTGCTCCAGAAAGAGTATCTCTCAAAAGAGACAAAGCTCGACAGTTTCCTGTTGATGTAGTCCAAGGTGTAGGTTTAACTTTTCACTCTCACCACCCTTTGGCTTACGTTGAGAATGCCCCTTCTCTTCCTTTATAAAATGTGTAGATTTCCTACTTGGATTAGATATTGAACAGAGGCAGCTATCAGGGCTCTCCTGGTCAGTGGCCTCTGCTCAAAATGCAATTGAATCAGACAGTTATTTTGGTTAGAAAGCTACTGACAAAAGTATAAGCTTTATGATAGATTTTAAAATTTTCTATAATACTTTGGCATGTTAAATTCCATCATACTTGTGAGATGGCCAATTATTTATATCTAATGAAAGAAATGTAAGAGCAAATAAGCTTAGGATAGAGGCATTAGGAATGCTGAGAACAGGAAGTATAGTGTTAAACGGAAGTAGTTAAACAGAATTTCTAGGTACAGGATACAGAGATTAAGGGACAGAACCAAGAAAAAAGTCGACTTCCAGTTTGGACACTAGTTTGGATATTAAGAGAGTGGTAGTGTCATTGATGATGAAAGTGGAATAAAGTGCCTCACAAAAGCTGAATACTCTTTTTTAAGTTAATGTTTATTACTATTGTTGTTTCTGTTTTTTTCATTTTTATTCTAGATTCAGGGGATACATGTGCATGTTTGTTACATGGACATATTGTGTAGTAGTAGGGATTGGGTCTTGGGTGGCCCATTCTCCAGAGAGTGAATTTTTTAATACTCTTCTTATAATTACAAATAAATGTAAGGTTTCTGTTGCCTTCTTTCTGCCCTAAACCAAATTCGGAGGAAGTCACCCAAAGGTTTTGTTTATTTTACTGAAGTACTAACATGTCCCTGATGTTATGTTGATGATTCTCCTTCATCTTTCCCACTCTCCCTCTCTAATTCATTTAACCTGACACACAGTTGACGGGTCCCTTACATCTGGAGGGTCTTTCCGGATCACAACTACCACTAAACCGTAAGAGCATAGCCTCTCAAGTTATATGAATAAAAGAAAATGTGCTGCATATTATCTTATTTCTTTTCCATTCTCATTAGTCACCTTCTAATCCAGGCCTTTGGAAATCGATGGCTATCATTATCTTATCAGCCTCTGCAGACTTTATTTCATCTGTTCTACCCACCAAACTCATCTTTCAGTTGCATGGCTTTAATCCTAACACCTGCTCAGCACTTTCAATACCTCTCAGTTACCGTCAGCAAGCCTCAACACATGGGCCTCGGTTTAGGAGCCTTCAGCAATTCCCCTCCACCCTACACCCAAGTCCTGTTGATGTCCTGACTGGCCAGTGGGCACACTGGACTCACTTAGTCTTCCTTCTTTCTCTTTCTGCGGCTGCTTTCCTTTCTTCTCTGACCATGTATCCCTCCCATGGCTCTTTCACAGCCACTGCTCATCTCATCCCCTAGCTCCACGAGGTCAATCCTCACTGATTAGTCTGCATGACATGAGTGAAACACTTAACCCAGTCTATTCGGTGTTTTTGCTTTGTCTTGTACAACCTACAACCTAAAAAAAACTCAACAGACAGCAGTCAAGAGAAGTAATTATCAGTTGGAGACAAGGTTTTGCCTAGGGTTGGCTTGTAATGAAACCATACCCTCTTCTAGCTATATCCCTAATAAGACTGCAGCCTCCTGGATGTCTTACAGAGTTCCTTGTACAGATAATACCCAACAAATCTCCTTCAATAGCTAACTAAAAATGGCATCTGACTTTATTTCTGTAGGCCTTAAGGTGAGTCATGTGGCAGGAGCTACATGAGTAGAACCAGTATATTGGAGTCTTTTAAGATTAGGACACGGGAGTTGCCATGGAAGGGTCATTAATTGAATGGTACTGTGGGCAGCACACTAAAATAAGTAGCGCACTATTTATTCTAAAGGGGCGTATTCAAAATCAAGTGATGACAATAAAGTCCTGGCCACTCCTCTGCTCCACCTCCTAGTCTCTCAGGGCAGGTGCCTTGTGGAAGTAGGACCCTTCCCCAACTCCAAATCAGAGAGGGCCATAATGTCTCCATAAAAGATCTTCCTAATGTATCAAGGGCATCATGCCACAGAAGTGGAGACTGAACTAAACCTAAAATGTCTGTTTGGAGTACGATTTTTTATTATCTTTGGTTTTCCACAGCATTTAATCCATTTTTAGAAGACAGCAATCATTGAGTTGATGTAATATATACAGTAATTGCAAGTCAAGATCCATAATTGCATGACCCTGAAGCCTAAAAGTCCTAGCTACAGTGAGAGAACTTTCATAAGAGTGACCTCTGATAGTCCTCCTGCAAAGCCGCATTTTGAACCAGATGGCTGGAATCCAGATTCCAGAATACCTCTCAGACAAATCTTCCATTTAAAAGGCTAAAATGCCTATCCACTGCTATTATAAGAAATATTCTTCACCTGTACTTCAAAGTCAGACATCTCTGTGAGTACAAAAGCCTGTGTGAACAGCCTATCCTAGCCAGATCGAGCCCCGTGCCAGAGCAGAAAAGGGTTCAAGGTGGCGTCATCCATCATTCTGAGTTTCAAACACAGATCAGCCTGGGCAGTTGGAGATACATGAAATTTAACAGGTTAAGTGACCCTGAACTAGGTCCACTCCCAAGTTTCAGTAACCCCTGTTCATCTCACCATAATGAATCCATAGCAAATCCTAGCCCTTTGTCAGGATAATTTTCAGAAGTAAACAGTATGACACAACATCTTTTAGTACCTCAGTGATTTGGTGACAATACAGTTGTGACCAGGAAATTCATGTTCCCTGGCAGTTAGACTAGAGTCACAAAGTCCACACTAGGCTAAACATCAGAATGTTGTCATTAGAAACAAAATCATAAGACCTTCTCTTTCAGCACTTGTTGCTCTTAATCTATTTGTAATTAAGATCATTTGTCTAGTTTCTAAGTTTACAATAGAGACAGAAAATCATAATGGAGGGGTGTGACACTTCTAATGGGTAGAAATGCTAGCAGCAAAAGAGGAAAAAAGATGGCAAAATGTAGAAAGCTGCCAGAACTTAAAAATGTAGGTACCTGCATCAGTCTCACAGGTCTGGGGGTTTTGATCACTGCATCTAGTATAATGTCACAGTTAGTTAACGTTCATGATGACGACCTTGACTCCCACAGAAACATAAAAATAAGGTGGACAGCTGGGCTCAGCCTGTAATCCCACGCCTTTGGGAGGCTGAGGTGGGTGGATTGCCTGAGCCTGCAGGTTCGAGACCCACCTGGGCA